TTTACCCTTTGGGGGGGAGCTTGCTGTGGGCCGGACGTGTTACAAGCGTGGCGGGGGGGGACCGAGAGGCCCGGGGCGGGCTGGGAGCTGCCGCCGTGTCGCCTCCTCTGAGAGTTTCTGCCTTCCGTGTGTCCAGGCGCTGAGGAGAAGGGGCCCCAGGGCTGCCCGCGGCCATGGGGGTGCAGGACCGGCCTCAGTGCTTTTTTGACATAGAGATCAACCGGGAGCCAGGTAAGGTTTGGGGGTTCGACGCTTACCATTTATAGTGGTTTCTCCGCGTCTTTGCCTTATTAGTTGACCCGAGCTGTTCGCAATGAATTTGGCCATGGATAAGGTGTTTTTGGTTTTTTTTTTTTTGTTTTTAACTAAGTTGATGTGGTTAGTAACTTGTTGTTCTTTGTAACTCGATGTTGACTGGGATGCTGCGTGCTTTTTGTTTTCTCTTCAGATTGGTTTTTAATCGCGTACCTGAATAGAGGGGTTCAGAAAAGCTAATTAATACGGCTTTGAACATAAAAAGCGCCGTGTGTTAAGAAGTGCTGTCTGGTTGCAATGTTAGGTCTTGTAAATTTACAGTTGCACGAGCTACGGAAGACTGGGGCAAGTTATGAGGAAACCGGAGATAATGATGAAGTCTGTGTTAAGTGCTACAAGAAGCGTTTTTAATCATAGAGTAATTGAATTAGAAGGAGACCTTAGGAGGTCAGCTGGTCACCTCTCCTCCTCCTGCTTAAAATGAGTCTTCTGACTGTAAATAAAGAATAGGCCAGATGGCCTGACTTAAAAAAAAAAAAAAAAAAAAAAACATATTTAGCTCATATCTTCCCTATGGAAAGTGTAATCACCCTTTATATGGTAAACTGAGTTTTAATCCTGGACTAGCTACTTAATTCTCAGTACAGTTTCACCTCTTCTGTTTTTGCCAGTCTGTAAAAAATGAGAGGAGAGATTTACTTCAGCATCATTTTGAACAAGAAGTAATCCATGTATGTGATTGCCCAATATGTATCCAGATCTTTATATTGCTACAATTTATTTCTCAAAAAAGAAATAATTGTGATGGCTTCATTATACTTTCATTTTCGTTTTCTACTTCATAGTTTCTGTGAAAGCCTTTGAAATGAGAGTTTATATCTCTGTGTTTTCAAACTTCAGTTGTATTCAGATGCAACTTTCAGCCACTTTGCTTGCTTTTTAATTTCATTAGAAATTTTTAAAAAGATTTAATTCTAACTTGAATGGCTTGATTATGGCATAACTATAATTTGTGGCTATTACAACTTCTACTTGAGTTATTTTAATTGTTTAACAGTGCTTTTTCTGAAAGCGGGTTTTTTTTTTTTTTAGGAGAAAAACGTAACTTCTAGTGTAAAATATCTCTAATATTTTCTATAATATTAAATTCTAATTTACTACAGAATTAGACTTTTAAAAATAAAATTTGGATGTTTTGGGGTAGGCAAGTTTCCAGTTCAAGAGTGTAGTTTAGAGAAACTCATTTGTAGCACAATTAGTGCTATGTATAGATGATTACTTTGTGATCTCATTTACTCTTCGTATTTGGTCTGTTTTTTTTTTTGTTGCTGTTTTGACTCTTCTGAAGAATATTCCCCTACCCTGTTGTCCCTGTGCTTTGCTTCCTTCTGGTCTTTCTTCATGGGTGCGCTCCTGCTTCCATTCTGTAATAACTCTTGCTATTTTTCTTGTCCTTTCCTCAGCCATGTGTTTTGTATCACAAGCAAAAGTGGGCTCCCGTGTTTTCCCTCGTATCTGCTTGGATTTGATGGCTGTTGTTAGCGTCAGAGAGAAATTGTAATGTTAGCGTTCCTAGCGGTGCAGAACTCTGGTTCCCTGGAGTAGGCACGGGGCTTTGGCTCCATTCGTTGCTGTCAGTTTATCTTCCCTTTAAAGTAACATGAATCTCACAGCTGTACATCAAATTCAGAACCCTGCTGTTTTTATTGCACCTGATTAATGGCTTGTATTTTCACAGAAAAACATGCCAATTCTGTAAAATGTTTTGATCAGGACTTGTGTAATGTGTGGTTGTAATACTGTATGCTAGTGTCCATTTAGCATTAATTTACTATGCAATTATGACTCAAAACTTAAGATTATAGTTAAAATCTTAACCATTGCCCTTTTGGCTTGTTGGCATTTTGAAGATGACCTTCAAAAGTTGATTCAACTGTGAGAGGTACAGCAGTGCTTACAGATGACATGGAGCATTAAGTTGGAGGGATCTATACTGTCCTGCTGATAACAGTGAGGTTTTAATTTGGAAAGCTGCTGACACTTTAAAAGTAAGCAAAATGTTAATTTTAATGTGACTTTAACACAATTAGCTTATCTGCTTGTTCATCTTTATTGGCTATAGGGATACTGGGGAAGGGAACAATTCTGCACGTTGCTGCTAGCCAAGAGGCAGGACTTTGCCACCTTCCCTGTCTTCACTGAAAAGTTAAGCTAACACGTTATGGCACTGGAGACCTCTGTTTGCCCACAAAATACACAACTTTTTCATTGTAACATTTTTTGTCTGTTTAGAATCCAAAAATTTTCCACCATAGAGCTGACAGCTGTTTGCCTGTTGTTAGGATACATACCTGTAGCAATTAGAAATAAGAGAGCAGTGCACATATTACATTAGAAGGTGCAGCAAAAGGTCGTGTGTATGTATGTGGAAAGGGGAATGCAGGGTTTGGATTAGTTTCACTGTTAACTAAATCTCTTTTGCTACGCAAAATACAATATTCATCCTGTAGCTTTGGTTCTGTTTTCAGAAGCTGTATTAGGGCTTTTTGTGCTGCCTGCACCCTTATTTTAATTTTAGCTATAGAACTGTGAAGTAAAACTTGATGCCTGCTTATATGTGCCTCTTGCTGTGTGATAACATTTGTAGACTTTGTATCAGTGTTTCTCAATGTAACTTGAAGTTTAGGTTACTTTCAAAAGCTTTGTTACACGTATTTTATGAGAGGAGATTGTGGTTGATATTTTTTAAAGAGCAAATGGAAAAGGAATTGGGAGTCAGCATTTATTTTAATACTGCTAGCACAGAAAGCTACTTTCTCTTCCCCCCCCCCCCCCCCCAATGGATTTGGGCACATGCAACTGGCAGGTAAGAATAAACTAGCTATAGTACTTGTAAAATTTCAGGATGTCAGCAGGTGCCTATTTGATGACAATTACTAGATGCCTAGTAATGTTTTGATTCTGATGCAAAATCCTTGTGGAACTTGTGTTTTAATTATCATAGTACTTAAAAGATTGGTCGCAGACTAGGAAGTCAAATACAGTCTGTTGCTGTAGTAGTTTATGTAACTATTCAAAGAAAAAAATGCTGCGTTTTCTTCCCACCCCCATCATGCTGAGCAAAGCAGACTGGCTTTGTCTGTCAGAAAATGTTATGCTTACTCATTTTTGTTATGTTTTTTTACCTATTCAGCAATGAATTTTCCTTGTTCTCTCCTTTTCCCACTTGAGTCTGGATGTTCTTTTATTGTTTGACCACTTGCTTGTTTTTCCTTCTGCTTCAGTTTCTGTTCTTCCTGGGATACTGACCCTTCCCTTTTCAATCAGTCATTTTTTTCATTACTTCTAGTCTCAGTTGCCTGAAGCTTGGTGTATTTTGGGATTTTTGGCTGCCAGAGCTATGAATTTAAGAAGCTACACTGGACCAGTCACGCTAGTAGTACATCTGCGTTAATAGAACCAGGGAGGCAAATTTATTATGGGTTCTTTGTTGCCTTCCTAAACAGAGAAACTGTTTTGGACTGGACTCCCATTAACTTTTAGCCTTATAGTGTTGTCGATTGGCAAAGAATAGTTAAGTGCTTTGACTCTGTCCGTCAACCAACTGGCAAACTAGTTTAGTGCAATGCAACGAGAGTCAAGAGGACTTATAAGGGCCCCTCTAGGAGACATGAGGGAGATGAGGTATGGACAGGTCTCAGGGAGAGCCCATGTAATGTGTTTTAGGACAAAACCGTAATCCACATGTTATATAGAATTATTATTTTTGGTGTGGAACGCAATACACTGAAGATTTACCTTGATGTCTAAAACAAATTGTGGATTAGTAAATGGAAAAAACAAACTGATGACTGAGAAGACAAAATGTAGTTTCTCACTTGCATTTCTCGGAAGACAGTAAATTTGAGTTGCGAGCAGCACTGAAATGTGCTTGCTGTTGCGGAGATCACAGAAGTCTGGAGCAGAGGAAGCTTTATGGACTGTTTGTGGGGGGTGCAGGTTAACAGAGCTGGGGAAGGAAGAAGTTTGTGGAGGCTCTGCACAGAATGTAAGTTAGGGTTAGGAAGCACTAAGAAGGTGATAAAGTGTCAAAACTTTCTATAGATTCCAGCTTGGAGGAATTGTCACATCTGTTGTTCTAACTGATGTTTTAAATCTGAACTTTTATTTTCTGAAAACTGTACCCACGTTTCTACTCTGAAGCAGTCTTCTAAAATTCGTATAACTATTATCGTTAGGTTTTACAAATTTAAGGATAAATAAATGCATAAGATTAAAATATGTTTGTTTTAATGAAGTGTTATTTACACTTGTATGAAAATTTATTTAAGCCTTTGGGCCTCTGGCAAACTTCCTGTCCTGTCTGCAAAGCATGTGTATCGCTCTCTTAATGGTTGAAATTGCTACTTTCTTATTCAGCATGATGTTCTTAATAAAATATTGGGAAAAATGCAGCAGTCTCTTCTTTCCTCGTTTGTGCTAAGAAATTGGGGGGAAAAAAAACAAAATAAACTTAGAAATTCATTAGAACTTTTTAAATAAGTTCTCGAGTTTTAATTTGAATTAGGTTCATTTTGGGAGTGTCTATCTCAAATTGAGTCCTTCGTGGCCTAAACATAATGCAATCTCTCTCACTAAATTATATTATATAGTTAAAATATGTTCAAGCAATGCGTGTTTGTTTCCAGTTTTTTTTTTTTGTAAGGAGTTGAGCAGCTAAATTGTAGGAGATCACTGGAGGATAAGCATTTTAAATCCGATTTTAATAAATCGGACTCTGCTAACGGCAGCACTTGTTATGGTATAGTGTGGATATTTCTACCCTGAGTTTTTGTGACCTGATTTGAATCAAGTTCTAATTCTGCCACAAGTTAGACATTGTTTGGGCATTCAAAAATGAAAAAATTGTTTTCACCTTTCAGCTTGTGAAATGGATTTCTGAAGTTTGCTTCTTTCTGGTCATTATGCCATCTGGTTTCTAGAACTGATGTACTTCAGTAGCTGCAGATAAGGCTTTATGAAATCATTTAGTTTTAATTTCAAAGCGTCTTAGAACTTGTGTCATATTTATTGTATTTAATTGCTAATAACTTAAATAATTCTTGGTCACTTACTCTAAGTTCTATCCAAAAATATCTTTAAAGAGCGAGTTCAAAAGCTTCCTAACAAATAAGAATCACTTCATTTTTAATAATACTCAAAGAATTGTTTTAAGGTTAATAAATGCTTGTTAAGTTATGAGAGGCTACATTTCTATGGTACTGGCTAGCATAAAAAGTACACTAATGTATTTCAATATAGTTTTTATAGTATAAATGAACATGTATTCATAACTATGAGCTGATAAGCATCAGCATTTTATTGAGAATAAACATAGATTAAAATTATTGAAATATCCTGTCTGCTGATGCATTAGAATAAGATTAGTATAACTTCCTTATGGTATTTGAAGATTTGCAGCCCAAGTTTGGTGAGAGATTCATCATCAGAAAAATAACCTCGACATTTGAAGAGAGGTGTCTCTGCAAGCTTATTCCCTTGGCTAAAGCTGATTGAGTAGTCTGTGTAGGTCTGTGAGCAAACTTAACCTACCTGAACAATCATTTTTAGCAAACAATATCTGTTTACTTAAATTTACTCTTCAAGTCCTACAGTTAGTTGTAGAAAGCTTGTTCCCTAGTCAGGTACCTTAAGCCTTGTATCGGGGAAGAGAGGCTGAAGAAATTATCGGAAATGGTCTCTATATAGTGAAGGTGAAGCACTTCAGAGAAGAGGGGGCACGTTACAGAGAGGAAGTATCTAGATCTGAGGAAATTAATAACATTTGAAATGTGCTTTTTTTTGTTTTTTAACTCATATTTTGTCAGCAAATACCTCAGTTATTTGGCTGGGAACTCCTATTTTAAAATGGATGTTTCTTTTTTAGGGAAGAGAGGAGAGAAAGACTTACTGGTTTTAAGCAGACTTTTAACATGTTTTTTCTTGAGTTAAATTAATAGCTGTCGTTTTATGTGTATTTATTTGATCAAAGTGTGAAAATCTTTGTTCTTTCTTTGGCACATTTAATTGACTTTTTGTCAATAGAAAATATACTCTTTTACCTAATAATATTCATACAGTTTAGATATACTGCAGGTAGTAACCCACCAGATGGGCACTCAGTATGTGGTTTGTGTATTACCAGCAAACTACCACATTGTATATAATTAGATATAACAGGATGAACAGTACTTTAGGTTATGTGGAGGAGAAACTTCCTAATTTTTTTTTTACTTTAACTGGCTCTACTGTCATACGGTCTTTTGATGCTGGATAAGTGTGTCATAAATCAAGTTCGTAGGAGTTGAGAAGGTATGACAAGCTAGCAGACGTTATTGGCAAAGCACTACTAAAAGTACTACTGAGATCATAATATCTGAGTTACGAATTTCTTTTTTTATGCTCTGCCTTGGAATCCCCAAGAACCCCACCAGAAGATCTAAGAGGTGGTGTCACACTGGAGAACTGCGTACACTGTAGGTTGGGTATAATGTGTGAGCAACGTGCTGTTACCTGCGGTTTCCACCTGAACAGCTCAGGTCAACTGCAGGGAAGAGCTTTGTGGTCAATGTACTGTCAAGCAGGCTATTTCATAAAAGCCGTGTTTTCTCCTGGCTGTTGTTACGTGATGTTAGTCTCAACAGTGTGAATCGTGTAGATACTAACCACCTAGTTTTATTCATATGCGATTAGGAAAATGTCAGTTCTGTAGGTCAGTAGTATAAGGCTAATGAAAACTAAGGAACAGATAGACCTAGAAGT